TCCCAAATGGGATTGTCCTGATAAAGGGCCTACATTAATGTATGTATGTAGGTCAAAGTAAACATGCACTGAAAATGAAGAAACTATATCGTTAAAAACAAATAAATTTAAAGGGATTTTCGTCCCCCAACCCCTTGGGGGAGGATTGGTACCGGCCCCTGGGGTTGTTGCTTCAACAGTTTGAAGGCAAAAGAATCGAAGCTTACATGCTTGTATGAAACTTGCTCAACTGAAAATTTAGTGGCAACGGATGGGAATTTCTACCGTTTCGATGCTGGGTCGGAATATGGATAGCCTTCTTCTTGATCATTCTCACTGCCACTGATATGTCAGCACTGGTCGGACTTATTTCAAGGTAAATAATTTAGGTTCGATAATCCATTTATTCTGATAGGGATAGGGGTAACCAATCAAGTCATATCGTCGAACTTGTAAAGCTGGGTTGAATGCTCAGCTTTACAAGTCCGCCGAGATGACTTGATTGGAGCTGAGTTGAATGAGAAGTGACGTTCTCAAGTTTCTGCGAAGAAACCAACTATGAACACTCGATTTTTGAAGTGAATTTTGAAAGCCTTCATACGGATTATTGAGAGATTACTACCCTTTCTGCTGTTCTTTTTCACGTATTCATTGTTGAGAGTAGAATAATAAAAGAGGGTACTTTACTTACTTTGATAGTCCATCAACTGGCGTTCTTCTCAGTGGGACCACAGCTCTTCCACATAGCCCGATTTTTGGCAACTTGCATCCAATGTAGGCCGCGTTCTCTGAAAAATTTGAAAACGAGTCGGCCCACCGAGTTGGCGGTCGTCCTTTGGGTCTCGTTTTGTTCTTGGGAGCCACTCCGTCACGCGTAGACTCCATCTGTCATCAGTGCGGCGAAGTAAATGACCGGCCCATCGATGCTTCAATTGCGCCATGTATAGAAGCGGATCTTTCAAGCGTGATCGTTCCTTCAATTCTGAGCTACGTATGCTTTGCTGCCATTGCTGTCGTCTGCTAATCTTTAGAAAACATCTTTCTAATGCACGTTGGCATGCATGGTCTTGGCGATTGTCTTGCGTTGGGCATTAAAAGCAAAAGTCGGGCTCAATAAGGGGTATTATGGCGATTGGAAACTGGGTATATGACAGTGAGAAAAATCGAGAAAAATCAGTCGACAAAAAACCTGGTAACAATACCCTCTCCCCATTAGCAAGGGGTGAACGAACTGGCTTGGGAAAGAGGTACGTACAAACAAGTTTTCTGAAGATATCAGTCTTCTATCGGTTGATACGGCAATCAACCTAGCTGATTTCACACGTTATGCCAGCCACGCACCACATCCCAAGGTGGGCGGTCGTAGCGGGGCCAGGCGGCGATAGCGCATAGTACGTGCCCTGGGCCTTATTACCGCGCCGTTCGAGATTTTGAGCGTGGGAACATCTGTACGGGTGCGTAACCAAGTACAGACATGACCGAAAGGGTTGGTTGGTCAACTAATCCCGACCTTTGCCTTTTAAAGGGGATAAGGATTTTCCTCCGGATTGGGCTTATGCAAAACTGCTGTCAGATCTCGGCAAAACACTTCGCCCCTGAAAGCGCATACTCATATTAGAATGTCGAAGCTATCTATTGAAAAAATCAAATTCATAAAACTGAGGCCAATCTGATCACAATGAAGAGCCTCAGTATTTCATGTCATTCCGACTTTTCCAGGTTCACCGAGGAAGCCTTCGCCACGCTCATATCTGTAGTCTTCATCATCCAGGCATTCCAGAAATTGATTGAAATCTCACATGATGCACCGATTGTGGCCGATCCAAGGGTAGTTGTTTTCTTCCATAATCATCTGTTGGGCATTAAAATCGAGTGTGGGCCTTGTTGGACGGAGGTAATATATGTAAAGGAAAAGAGTCCGCATATTACGCGCACAATCGTGTCTGAAGATGGATCCTCTGTTCGAATTTTTCCAAGCCAGCCGATCCTCATCTCTTCCTAGACACATATAGACGCACAGAAAAACTGGGTCGTTGGAGCTCTTGCGCATTTTGACATTTCTTTACTGAACGCTCCCTTTTCAGAAAAGCCTAAGCAGCTTGCCTGGCCAAGAGAAACTTCTAGTGATGCTCAATGTCGACTTTAGTCAACTTTTGATAAGCTATACGCTTCAGAGAGGTCTACGGAGCACCTATGTCTTTGCCATGTAAACGTAAACAGACCAAGCCTTAACAATCACGATCAGCATGCGATTGAAGGATATGGCCGCAGAAGGTAGGTACGATGCTCATGCATTGTTGTTTTCTACTTGAACTGGTTTTGTTCTACGGAAGCAGTATCCTGTCTCAGGCTGCTTGCACACCGAGCAAAATTAAATCCCTGTCACAAGATACTTGAGTCATCAGCGATATAAGTAACCATAAGAATAAAGCAAAGGACTGGATTGAATGTTGAGCTCCACCTGGCCGACTAATATTGGCCATTTAGAGGCACGCTCCGGGATTAGACAGGCTCACCAGTTCCATCCCCGATGGCGGTAGATAGGCGGACGAAGGTTGGTGGTTCACGGCTTGAAGCTGGCGCGCCTAAGTCGCTGGAAACTTGCTCCACCCGCAAACCACACCCATTCTGAAAGCCCCGCCTTTCGCCGTCGCTGTCGCGTTGGCGCTGCGAGAAGAACGCGGCCGCAGTTGCAGCAGTGGATTGCAACTCAATGTCTCGCATCCTCTTTGTGGTGTGAAGGGTCGTTGGACGTATCCAATAATAAACATCGTCAGAGGAGCCAAAAACACACCTCACCTCACTGTAAAAAATGCGTTCAAAGAAAAAAGACATAAAACAGACACAACGTTTTTCGAGAAAAAAAAAGGATACACTTGCCCCAAAATTCCGGGTCTCGTAGGGATCTCCAGGAAGAGATAAGTTTTTTTAACAAAAAAACAAGTTTGAACTGGAACAACTAACGTATACCCATTGTCAAACTAGGTCAATCCCGCACGCTCAGCATCAAGTGGAATTCGGAGTAGTGGCTTTTCGGGCGTAACGAGGCATTCTGATTATTTTCGTTTTCAAATTAATTCCGACCTTAACTGCATAACATGAACGCCAGCCACTCGGTATTTATCCCGAAGTGCCATTAATAAACACCGTTCCGCATCTTCCGCAAGGCGACGCCCTCCATCGCACTCGTCTGTTTTTTGCTACTTTCGCTTTGTCTTAACCTTCCTTCATCTAAATGATTTGAATAGAAGGTCCAAGATCACATTTATATAGTAGTCCCACTCTAAAATGGAGTAGTGAGGCAAAGTGGACGACCGAACGTGGAGAAAAGGGTCAAAAAATTCGTGAAAATGAGAGAATACGACTAGTGAGATTATGAACAGCAAAGCAGAGCGCGGAGAAGGAAATCTCACTGCTGAGGACGTATAGCAGGCCCAGGCATTCGGGGCCAGAGACACATATCGATACGCTTGAGCGGAACCTGGTTAGTTTTGGTGAAGTCTTGATCATCGCTTAGCGCTCAGCGCCTTAGTGACGCGTTTCGGTGCGAGCGTTCGCATACTGCGTCCTATCTTCCACCTCTACACAGGAGAACTTAAGCCAGTGAATAATTGAGCCGTGTCATTGGAACTCAAAGTTAATGAGTAAGTTATCGATCGCGCTTTGTCCAGCTTGAAAACGATGACCACTCTGATTGAACTGCGTCATGGTGACTAAATCCAAGTACCCTGTGAAGGTTGTCATTCCTTTACTCAATGCTGTCGTATAATTTGATAGCCAAAAGTTCAGACAGCAAACGAATTTGTACGCATAACCCGTACACGTACAGATCGTGTAGAAGATATTTGTTCAGAGTGCGAGGCTCGAGGTGGCGAGGCCATTGGATTGCAATGTCACTTCAAACCAGACGTTTACATGCTGTCAGTACTGCTCACATTCGGAACATTTGCCTTAGCTTATGGTCTTAATAATTTTCGACACTCAAGGTTTTTCGGATCTACCGTGAGTGATCATTCGAATCCGTTCGTACCACTTGGCTTCCAGAAAACTTAATATTTTCTTTCTTTTTAGTTTCGCAACGCCCTCAGCGACTTTGGAGTTGTCATCGCCATTGTTGTTATGACAGCATTCTCACTAGCAATTGGTTTGGATGTTCCAAGCCTTCATGTTCCTCAACAAATTAGGGTGGGTTCGCCAACAGGTACATCTAATACAAATGACAAGATAACCGCAAGTAAGTTTTAATGGACTGCGTTAGTTCAACCCTGTTTTGGCGCCGATTTTAGCAAAATTATAAGCAGACCTTAGTCAAACTACCTGATCATCAGCGCTTCCACTTTTTTCTGAGTTCTCAAGTGAAATAAGCTTGAACTTTCCGATCAAAACAAGGAAGCGTTTTCTCTCACGCAAAAAACACTCTTCGCATGGTCACCAACCCAATATTTGACTTTTCAGACGACAATGTGACGTGAAATTTTTCAGCCGCGTTAAGCTAAGATGAATCGATGACAAATTTAGGGCAGGGCCCGCAGAAATGGCCACTTGTAGGGCCTCCTTCTGTTTGCATTCATTCAGGGTGTCCCCCAAGAGGCCCGTCGCGCGGCGAAGGAAGAGACGCAGATGCGGCAAAGAGACGAGTTCGCAGCGCGTGCTGTGCGATATGAGACGTAGTATGGTACACTCTCTTTAACCTGACGCCTAACCGCTACGTCACCCTTCGCCGCGCCACGGGACTCTTGGGGGACACCCATTTATCAAAAATCTTTTTTTATGATTGGATCAAAGGGACAAAGGTCACTAGCGAACACTTTATGGAGAGAGAGCTGACGTTCATATACAGCTTGTTGAAACATAGAATTTCAGCCGACACTCGATCGTCCGTGGGTCGTCGACATTTCTCGCGTTCCTCTTGTAGTTGCTCTCATTGCGTGCCTTCCAGCTGCTTTCTATACAATTTTGATAGTGATGGATCAACAGATTACTGCTGTTATTATTCAATCGAAAAGATAACATGTTGCGTGTGAGTTGTACAATATTTTCTTTTCTTTAGCAAGTGAGAATTAGCCTAGCAATCGTGTGTAGGGAGGGACAAGCACTTGATTACTACAGAACGGGAGCATTTGAGAGCAAGAGTGCAAAGAATTCAATTGATGTGAAAACGAGAGGCCAAACAGGTCTTTGGATAAGGAACTTGGAATTGCCATTAAGCAACAGCATCAATGAGCAGCTTCTATTTCGAGGCAAGATGCCAGGGGTCAACCACTGTTTGTACAAGTTACCAAGGACCAAGGGGGGGTCGTTACTTGGTTTAGCTCGGAGGAGGGGGTCGTATCCTGGCTTCAGTTTGTGAGGGGGGGGGTCGTATCCGCTTCAGTTTGTGGTGAAACTCGAGTTTTCCACGAGTAGTAGGCTAGGTGAGTTGGGAGCGCACGGGAGAAAAATTCGCCGTTTCAGCGCGCGTATATACCCCCCCCGCTCGACGGCATTTTTGGAGGAAAAAGTGGGCGGAGTTTGGTGGGTTGAGTGGTACCAGAATTAAATACTATAGAGAGGAATATGGTGGTCGAGGGTCGAAAAGGGGGTCGTACCAAGTCCACCTTGGGGGAGGGGGGTCGTAAAAATTTTGAAAAAGTAACAACGATAGGACTGACCCTGATGAACGCCATGACATTCCTGAAATTGTAGCCATTCAATCCCTACCTGGATGGTGAATGTTCTTTCCCAAAGAATATGGTAAGTCTTATGGCACGACAGCAGTTGGTGCGTGGGAAAGGGTAAGAGGCAGACCAGAAGGTACTAGGTAGCTGCTCTGACTCCAAGGAAGGGTCAAGCATGCGTCGCGGAATCCTCGAAGGAAGGACGCATTTGGACCGCTGGGGGAAGAGGTACCAGGGTCTAAAGTCAGTGGTGAGTAGAGGAGCGACAGTTCATTAAGGATAGCATGGAACGCGGCTTCGCGCGTAAGAGGCTCCAGAAGCGTTTCACGCGTTTTTTCCGTTTTTTTTTTCATGCGCCTGGCACTTGTGCATGGCATTGGAATGAGAAACACGGAAATTATTGTAGTGTGAACAAACATGACGGCAACAAGGTTCAATTATAGCATACATTATACGAAGTTATACGATTGGCCAACGAGGCTGGCTTACACAAATCTACTTGTCTTAAATAACCTCAAAGGCACAGAGTCCGGGTCGACTTTGGTATCATTTTGAGCCTCAAACACGTTTAAAACAATGCGAAATGGCTTATTAGGGGAGGAAAAAGAGTTACAAACTTTTGACAAGGCGGAAATAACCTCCTCCCAGCCCCAGGGTCCACGTCTGGCAGCCGTAGCCCTAAATTACAGGCCGAGGTTCCTTGCTATTGCGCGGTTCCGATTCACGAGTCTACCACCACTTTTTTGGTTGCAGACGCATCCACAGTATTGATGGAAGAGGGTTCCTTTTGACGTCTACCAGGGCCTTTTAAACAAATCTTTCGAAGCGGATTGTTTCAGTTTGATGTACTGCGGGCGCAAAGTGAGTTCCGGAAGTGATCTCGAAAGGAAATTCGTTGTAGAGTATTGAGAAGTCATCGTTTGGACAATCCTTTCGCCTGTTATATTTGTAAACATGTAATTTTTGCTTCAAACTTCAATACCTTTGAGCAGTTTCTAAGAGAGAGGGAGCTTTGAAATTCCGAATCTGTTTTTAGCTTTCTAAAATTCCTTTTTCGTAGTAAGTCGTTGTCACTGAAATTGCAACAACTCGAGGGGAAAAAAACTCGGGCAATCGTCCGCAGTGGAGCCACTTTTGACGTTTATGTTCTACCACGTGATCCTAATAAGCGTTTCAAAGCGCAATTCTTCTGCTTTACAATGTCAGTGTAGAGCCTGTGACAAAATAAAGGGTCACTGTTGTTCTGATTCCAGAAAGGCGAAGGCTATCATCTGGATCTGTTGTGCATTGCCGCACTGGTGCTGATATGTTCCTTCTTGGGACTTCCGTTCTACGTGGCCGCCACGGTGCTTTCAGTGATGCATGTGAATTCTCTTCGCGTTTACTCAGAATCCTCTGCACCCGGAGAGATTCCACGACTCCTCGGTGTGAAGTACGTCAGCTTTCGTTTGAACCTTACCCCTCCAGTACGCAAAATTCGATATATAGCTCTCTTAGTAACTACCTCCCTTCATGACATCAGAATCAGGTTTACTAAATTTAAGGGAACAACGTCTTACTGGCATTCTTGCTCATATACTCATTGGCCTATCTGTGTTTCTGACCCGTGTGATCAAGGTGAGCATATGTTTTTCTATAATAAGTTGATGCTATACACTTCCATTAATCTACGCTTTTCAGCTTGTGCCTTTACCGGTGCTCATCGGAATTTTCCTTTATATGGGTGTTGTTTCACTTCTTGGACAGCAATTTGTACAAAGAACAGCTTTGCTATTTACCTCTGTCAAACATCAGGTTTGTTCCTTGATCCTGAAAACGCTTCAGATCTCGATTGAATGCCTTGTTTGCCTTAGTAATGCATTCTAATACAATGCATAAAGAGGCTCGATTTTTCATCAGTGGATTATACTGAATACATTTGAGCCTTTATGCGGTTTCACAGATCTGCACCTTACCTAATGCCGGGTTAGC